AATGCTTCTGCTTGAATTTCCTGCAGGGTAGGCGGCAGGCTGACTTCCATGAGCTTTGTGCAGTGCGAGAAGGTGTGCATGTTGAGTGTGTTCAATGACGTGTTGGATATGTCGACCTTAATCAACTGTTTGCAGTTTTCATAAGCCCTGTGCCCTATGTATGTGGCATCTACACCAAGAGTGACGCTTTGGATGCCCGACGAATGAAAGCATCCTTGCGGGATCCCTGCTGGTGGGGGCGGCGTGACTGGTCCCTGGTGCGAGGCAGGCATAGCTGTTCAAGTTTGGCGCAGCTTTCAAACGCATACGGTCCAATCACAGCTCCTTCCGCTAACTCGCTAGTATCTGCTTTAATGATGCCAACCTTTTCCAGGGCGCAACATTCAGAGAAAAGTCGTGCTCCAAACACAACACAGCCAGCCAGGCATTTCTACCATGGTTAGTGCAAAACACCCTTGAAAGGCCGCATACTCCACTGCAACAACAGTGTTGGGGAGCTTGACTACTTGTAGTGAGTAGCAATATCGCCAAGCTTCTCGGTCGACATGTCGCAGCCGCGGTACCGACGAGAAGGCCTTGGCTGGGATAACCCCAGTAGCGTTTGGTGGGACCCATACAGCCCTGGGGTAGTCTTCATACTCTTCCCCTTGGATTTGGTCCCTGTGGTCATACGTTTGGAAGCACTTCTGAACGATCAGGTGGACTGGAAGTGCGTGTTAACCCAGAGAGTATCCGAGGCTGGGCCCGGGACCTTCGGCGAAGGGGGGCTTAAGCCCCCCTTCGAAGGGGGCTTAAGCACCCCCTTAAGCCCCTACAAGGTCCCCTCCCTTCCCCCCCACCCCCGCCGAAGGTACCGAAGCTTAAGCGCACCCTTAAAGCCACCCCTTAAGCCACCCCTTCCGCACCCCCTTAAGCCCCCCTTAAGCCACCCCTTAAGCGCCCCCTTAAGCGCCCCCTTAAGCCCCCCTTAAGCACCCCTTCGAAGGGTGCTTAAGCGCCCCCTTAAGCACAGTTCCCTGTCCCACTTCCCTGTCACTTGGGACAGGAAACTGAAGAACTTGGGGGAGAAAAGTGGAAGCTTCTCTGGATATGAAAATCGAAAAAGAATCAACCGTTCACCCTTGTCGCTGCTCTTTTCATTTCCGAGAGCGTCTGGAGCAAAGAAGAAGGTGTAACTGTAATTTTTCAGAAATCTGACATCTTCTCACATCTTCTGACATCTTCTTAGAGAGAAGCTCCAGGTTTTTTCAACCCGCAGAGGCAGAAGCGCATTCTGCGCGCTCACGCCTTCAGCCGTGAACCAATGGGAGACAGGGCACTTGGCAGCTGTGTGCAATGGAGAGAACAATTTTCTGACGGAGAACCGCATCTTTGCATCCGCGCGAGACATCGAGCGGAGACAGGAGCTGCGTGAGCTCCGCGCAGATCCAATCTGACAAGGGATTCATCCAGCCACCACTGAACCCGTTGACCTTCGGTCGAGTCGGGACCACTGTTGGCGTGAAATTCAAGACGTCTTTGAACTGGAATCGCTGAAGCCATTCCCATCCAATTGCGCCATAGATCAGGAAGTGTCAGTGCAGACCGGCTGCGGAAAAGTTCGGCGAAAGAAAAAGGAAAGAAAAAAACTGGTCATCTTGACTCGTTCCTCTCTTCTGTAAACTCTGATGAAAAAACAGTCTCACTTTTCAGATGTTTCGGAGCTGTCAGCTTGCTGCAAGTGTTGGCAACTGGTCAGGCGACTGCAGCGGGTGCGTGGTTGGCAGCTGGGAGTGCAGGCGACTGGAAGTGTGGAAGGCCTGAGAGGCTGATGTGCATGTTGACAAGCTGAATAGAACAGCGTTTTCCTGTTTTTGAACAGTCAGGGAATGCTTTTTGAGTGTTTACAGTTATGTTGGCCAGTTAGCCAACTTCTATGGGAGTATGGGAAACAAAAAAAGTGCAAAAAAAGTGC